GACTATGATATTAAGACGTTTTGTCAGCATTCATGAAAAAAACCAAATTTAAATATCATCCACATCAGCGTAGGGGTATTACGGTACTTAATCTAGCTGTAGAGGCAAGGTAAAGATATATTTATTTAAGATAATGAGAAAGAAATACTCGGGTTAATATCATATCAACATAAGCATGAACTAGCAGAATATATTTCACGTTTTTAATAAAATTATCCCGTCAATTCCTAAAAATCAATGTCAAGCGGTTAATTAAAATAGGCCCTAAATTACCGTGTAAATCAAACGTGAGTTGTTAAAGTAGCATATTCCTCTAACTTCGCTCTCATGCGCTTTGGATTCAAGAATGAGTTTTCTGTTAGACACATCCCAGTATTGAATCTATACATTAAACAAAAGCAACTTGCATTTCCATCTGCTGTTCCTAAAACAGCCAAACCCAGTGTCTCCGGATTAAGTGATATTATACCAACCGAATCAGTTGTTCCTTGTAGACAACCCAAAAATGGCTTTGCCATGACTTTCTCCAATTTTGCGGAGTTTGTTGCTCTCACATACTCTCTTTCAAGTGTAAATGGATGGATATTTGGAGCATAATTTCTTCGAACTTAGCAAAATAAGATATAAAGAACTAACTCTTAAAGATATCATCTGATGTCTCTCTTTTGTAATCCGATGGATTACGAGAAATCATACGAATCCTCATCATAAAACCGTGCCTGGAATTTTGGATAGGACACGTGCTATTTAGAGGAATAATTTAAGCGATAAAATAAATTATGCTACATTATTAAGATACGTGCTGCTAATACCTTTTACATTAGTTTTACTTTTGGGCTTGTAATTTTTAGATTATTAATATGTGTAATTATTATATTGAGAATGTATTTATCTAAAACAAAAAAGCCTAGATCTATATTTAGTCGTCATGATCATATCGCAGCCACAGATTTTTAATAATAAAGTACTTATTTCACTTATAATTTATATTTATCACACTCAGATATATAAGTTTGTTTAAGTTCTTATTTTTTTCTATCTGAGAATATATACCATTCACACAACTTTATTGCACTTTAGTAATGCAAATAGAGTTAGTGACAAAAAGTTAAATGAATAAGAATAATATGATAACAAATAAATTATGGTATCATTTTGTTAATTTTTTCATATTTGAAGTCAATGAGCTGCATGCATTTTTATAAAAAGAATAAAAGTATGGTTATTTCGCGTATTTATTATAGTCAGATTGTTCCATTAATTATAATGATTATAGAAGTTGTATGACCTTGTTTTCGCAACTTGCTCAGATTGATTCATAATTATTTCCAAAGTCGGTACATTCCCAGAGGTTTCGCCGGCATCGTAGTCGGCATCATCAGTGAGTTTTACCATTCGTAGCACCATATTGCAACTCGCCAAAGAGACATGTGATCAAACGTGTGCTAAACAGTAACGGTATCTCCCATTCTGCCCAGGCCTGTTTGCATTTTCTATATCCTCCAATCCCGCCTTCACTGTCACAATATTTAACTTGCCTAATTAAATGTGGTCGATGTGCCCTTTTTATAGCGACTTTCATAAGAACTCTCCGCGCTCCACGTTGGCCTTCTCACCGAAGGCGCTGGGAATGTTGATCGAAGCCTGCCATAGTGTTACACAGTCCTCCTTCCCTAGGTCTTACCACAGTCTCTCTCTTGCTCTGTAAGA